TTTAAAATTTTCTTGCAGCCATTGAGAACTACTGTGTGAGCTGTGATTGGTCACAGCTTATCACATGGTACAAGGCTATTATGAATAGCCTTGTACCATGTGACCTCTGATCAGATATTTCACACGTAGTAAGCAATGATGTCAGAAGTGATATCTTGCTTATTACTCTGCATGTGATCACTGATTGGCCAATCAGTGATCACATGATCAGGATCTCGCACAGAGGTCCTGTCCGACGATCGGTGTTCCACTGTGTCCGGAGGACACAGCGGGCACCGTATCGCGGTGCTGCTCGCTCCCAGGGAGCGGGCACAGTCCAAAATAGCGGGCGACCTTTATGAACCGCAACCAGCCCCTGGACTGCCACCATCCGGCCATTTATATACAGTGGCCAGACGGCAAGTGGTTAAATAAAGTGTTTATTTTAATTAAAATAAACCAGAAAGTTACAATGACAACACTGTCACATTGTAACTCTTTTAGACACCGCAAATACTGTTCTGTGAGTAATCGTTTATCCAGCAGCAGAAAGATCTTCTGCTATGTAAAATGCCGGCTGTTAAGATGACTGCTGGGAATTTCCAGTAAATGTGGCTAAAGAGCTGTGAGGGAGGAAGAGGAGGGGCTAGGCATAATACATGTGGAGGAACCCTTCCACCTGGGCTTCCTCGTGCGGAGCAATGCGTCTCAGCCAATGGTCCCCTTTTCCGGCAAGTCTTCCAGCGCTCTGCCAAGGCGGGTATTAGAGCTCAAAGACAATCCTTCCCCGATATCCCAAACCACGAGTCGGAACTTCGTGTAGGGTGAATGAATGAATGCTTTATTGAACACCGCTCAGTATATACAGCACATCCTGGCAGTAATCCCTGCCCCCTTCACCCCCACCAGACAGTCTGGCACCTGGTTTTCCCCACCCGCAACAAAACTCTACAGCACAACAACAGCACAGTATAAAATCTAGAGAAGTGAAAGACTACAAGTTCACATTACCCTAAACAGTGTAGAATGCCTGTCTACATAACAGCTGCTAAACATATACAGCTTTAAAAAGGGTAGAACGGGAAGGCCACTTAACAAGGGGATAAAACCAGAACAGAAAGGGCAAAATGTTATCACAAAGGGACGGTTCGTATGCCCCAAAAAATATATTTTTAGATGGGCATCAAAGCCCAATGTCCATAACTGGTTAAAAGGGTCTGGGCATACTACACATGCCCACAATTTCTTTGGATGGGTGTCAAAGCCCAATGTCTATAATTGGTTAAAAAGGACAAGAACTGGGACATTGGCTGGACTAAGGCATAAGTGCACTCATTCTTTAATAGACACTTAGGTTTTCTCAGGTAGATTAGAAGGTGCGGCTTAACCCACGGGTAAAAGCAGCAAAGCCGATTATGGTGAAATCAGAGTAGCAGACAGAAGAGGGGGTTTCTGGCCAGTGGGGTAAATGGCAGGCCTGTGCTTAAGCAGAACAAATACTAGCCGACAAGTTTACTTTGAACACAGTTACAAACCTCATTAAGTATTTTTGCCCATTGGAAACCATCTGGGTCCATGGAGAAGTCACGGATCGGAGACTTCTTTTGAATCTTAGGCAAGTAGCAGCAGTGGGGTCTGCAGAGAGAGACATGGCATGGTGTCAATTACAAAGAATTAGAAAATTACTAAACCCAGGACCCTGCATTCATATAGAAGAACCAACCAAATTCAAGAATCAACTGTGCAACAGATCAAATGGGCATCTTTTTTTTTTTTTTTATAATATTTGCATATTACCAGGAAATGTGACAATCTCTATTTAAAGTGTTAATAAACCCAAGACCCTGCATTCCTACTATAACCAGTCTCCCACAGTACACACAACATGGAAATGCAATTATTTTAGAGCAGTCTTACAACTTCTGTCAGTGTCCAGCAGAGCACTGGTTAGTCTTGTAGGAGTTTTCATTCTTCTCTGACTGTCCAATGAGGCTGCATGACTCCTGACCTTTTTGGACAGCACCGATTGGCACTATTTATCACATGCACCCTCACGAGAAAAAAAAAAAAAAAAAAAAAAAAAAAAACTAGCAATACACACCAAACAGAGCATGTGCAAGCTTGCCACTGCTGCTCTGTACTAATCGGCAGATGGACTGGGGATAGTGACAGAAGGAGGGTCATACATTATACAATTTCCTTTCCTGCAACTGTGGGTTGAAAAAAATTGCTCTATCATAGTCAGTGTTGATAGGGAAATTCCTCCCACTGCCCTATTGTATTCCGACAGCAGAAGTTTATCTACTGTCAGAATAGAATGATCACTGCTGCCGGCTATAGCCGCCGGCAAGATTGTGCAAAAACCCAGCAGGCTGGTTGTACTGAAGTCGACCGATAGATCAACTTCAGTACAGCCAGCCTGCCCATAGATGGATCAAAATTCGGCTGGTTCCTGCTGAACCAGTTGAATTTTGATCCATCTAGGTCTGGCTTTAATGCTGCGTACAGCCTGCATATATGCTGACAGTATAACTCCATTAGATTGCCTAAGGCAGCAGCCCAGATGAAAAGCAACTAGACAGAAGCCAATGAAAAGGCAAGTAAAACCACTGAACGCCAATCCCCCAGGGTATCCTGCGGCACCGGTGCCATCTTGAGGTTTTTATTTACTGCACAGAGATGGATTGCATGGACATTAATCCTGAGATTTTTTTTTCCCTTCGCTGCACCGACACCAAGCCATGCAGCTGCACCGACACCAAGCTAGGGGTATTTTACTGTACAAATTCTGGGGGTTTATTATTGCAGTCACTGACAATGTAAGGGGGTCACTTTCAGTCACTGATTGTTTAGAACAGGGTTTCTCAACCAGGGCTCCATGAAACTGGTTCCTCCAGAGGGGTCTAGGGGTTCTTTGAGCAATTTCTGCCTCTTAGAGAAGTTCTCACTGACACCGTTGATCTTCTTAGCTATTTGAAAAGGGGTAATTCTTCCCACTGACCCCAAGGCAAGAAGCATTCTTCCCACAGACTATGTATCATGGGTTGCAGATCTAGTCATTTTTAGCAGGGGTTCCTTCAGACTGAAAAGATATTTCAAGGGTTCCCCTGTGTTGAAAAGATTGGGAAAAGCTGGTTTAGAATGTGGAACCATTGATCTTTGCAAGCGGTTGACTATACTCCAAACCTAACCTTGGTGTTCATTTGTTACGATTTTAATTTATTGCACAATTTACTAATTGTTGCCTATTGGAGGACATGGAGTAGACATTTTAGATTATAGCACTCCTAAATTTCTTACAAAATTTTTTCACCCACTAGACTCAAAAGGTTGCCTACCCATAAATTAAACTATTCCACATAAAATGCTTTTCATATTGTTTTAAAGGGAAGATGAGAATAAATCAGCTGAACACTGAAATATTACCAAGGTTTAGATAACTAATGAACAACAAATACCATTCACATAAAAATCAATGGAAAATAGAACAGCACAACAATCTTTACCTGTGTAAAATCTTCTCTCTGGATCTGGTAGGAATCCAAGAATATTTCTGGTGCAATTTATCTTCCATCCTTGTTACAAAGACACGTTCCCTGTGTTTTTAAACACAATCTTCAACTTTAACATGTGCCATGTTTCATCTACCATTCAGCTCCTAAGATCAGACCTCCGGTCATACCAGCCCAGCAACTTGAAGGTGGTCCCTGACACTTATTTGTAACCTGGGGATCAGCTGGGAGAGTCTCCCAGATTAACCCTTTCATGGACATTTAGTGGTCTCAGGATCACAAAGCTTTATTGTAAGTTGTTTTATGGAATCTGGAGCAAATGGGTAAACCAGGTGCGGACTAACAACTCATGGGCCCCTGGGCAATAGGAGATCATGGGGCCCCTGCGTCCTTGCCCAAACTCAAAAAAGCCTATGAAAAAGGTATCAGGGCATCTCATGGGGCCCCCTACTGACCCCGGGCCCTCGGGCAGTGCCCGAGTTTCCAAATGGTCAGTCCGCCCCTTTAGGTAAACTTCCTTCTATTGCCTACAGTAGTGGTGGCCAACTTACTAAGGGGCCTTGAGTGCAGCCCCAGACATTGCTAAGGGCCACACCTAGTATTCACTAAGACGGCTTTCACACTGACCAGTTTTTTGTCTGCTTTCGCATTAAAAAAAGTGGAAGAAAAACACGCGACCATGTATTTCTATGGAAATCTTCACACTGGTCCATTGCGAGTCTGGTGCATTTTTTAATCCTGCTTGCTGCATTTTTGGTGCAGGTTTGGTGTGGTGAAAAACCACACCAAAAATGCATCTCCCCATTGAAAATGTGGTTTTTGAGTCACATGTTCTGTAAAAAATGAATCGCAAACGTGGTAAAAACACATATGTGTTTTTGCTATAGATCAGTGTGAAAGTAGCCTTAAAGTGTTACTAAACCCACAACAGTAAAATCCATCTGTATATGCAGTAAAGCATGCTTGTTATACTCACTGTGGAACCTAAGGGGTTAATCCTCTGCATTGTCTAAAAAGGCTGTTTGATCCTGTCTTCTCTGATCCTCCCCTTCTTCTACAGTCCTCAATCCATCTGCTGATAGAACAGAGCCTGCACATGCTCAGTTTGGTGTGCATTGCTAGAGAGGTTTTTTTTTTCTTGGGAGACTGCGTGTGATTAGCACAGGGCCAATCAGCGCTGTCCAGACAGAGGGTCAGGGGTTATGCAGCCTCATAGGGCAATCAGGGGAGAATGAAAACTCCTTCTACAAGCTTTAACCAGTGCTCGGCTGGACACTGATAGAAGTCATAAGACTGCTATAACTGTTGATGAGAAAAGGTATTTAGCAGTTTCTATTTACTAAAATAATTGCATTTCCATGTTGTGTGTACTGTGGGAGAGCGGATATAGTGAATGCAGGGTCCAGGGAGACCAGATATAGTGAATGCAGGGTCCTGGGAGACCGGATATAGTGAATGCAGGGTCCAGAGAGACCAGATATAGTGAATGCAAGGTCCAGGGAGAGCAGATATAGTGAATGCAGGGTCCTGGGAGACCAGATATAGTGAATGCAGGGTCCAGGGAGCCCAGATATAGTAAATGCAGGGTCCGGGGAGACCGGATATAGTGAATGCAGGGTCCTGGGAGACCAGATATAGTAAATGCAGGGTCCGGGAGAGCAGATATAGTGAATGCAGGGTCCTGGGATGACCAGATATAGTGAATGCAGGGTCCTGGGAGACCAGATATAGTAAATGCAGGGTCCGGGGAGAACTTATAGTGAATGCAGGGTCCTGGGAGACCAGATATAGTAAATGCAACACAGCTAATATAGTGGATGCAGGGAATGCAGGGCCTAGGTTTAGTAATACTTTAATGTAATGCTACAGAAAGTTGGTAGATTGCAACACATAAACAGGAGCTGGTCAGAGACTGCAGCCATGATACAGGAGCTGGTCAGAGACTGCAGACATAATACAAGAGATGGTTAGAGACTGCAGACATGACACAAGAGATGGGCAGAGTCTGCAGACATGACACAAGAGATGGTCAGAGACCACGGACATGATACAAGAGATGGTCAGAGACCACAGACATGATACAAGAGATGGTCAGAGACTGCAGACATGACACCAGAGATGGTAAGAGACTGTAGACATGATACAGGAAATGGTCAGAGACTGCAGACATGATACAAGAGATATTTAGAGCCTGCAGACTTGTTACAAGAGATGATCAGATACTGCAAACATAATACAAGAGATAGTCAGAGACTGAAGACCAGGGATGATCTCAATTGTATGTGAACATGAGTCTGAACCTGGCTGAGCTATCCCACTAAGAAGCTGTTACTGTGAGCAGCCAATCATAAGCGGTAGAGACATTCTCCACCCTGCATATACATGCTTCTTGTCTTCATGCAGCTACGGGGCAGGAAATGCCTCCGCTGCCTGTGACCCATGTCTAAACACGCTTGAGCTCATCCCTAGTCAGAGACTGCAGACATGCCTGTAGATGATGTAGGAGACTGAGAATGTAAGATGAGCATGGGCATCCTCCAAACTTATCTCTGAGCTGTAATGTATGCCTCCCAAAGCTCACGCATGTGGCCCCTTATATTGACAGTAGGTGGCATACATTACAGCATACCAGGTATTTTCCATAGTATAGTAGATCTGAGGATGAGGAGTCCCCATCGAAATGCATCAGTGCTGAATACTTGTATGGTAGTGACCAACAGATGTCAGAAGGATTCAAGAGTTCATCAGCTGTATTTGGTGCACTGGGCAAGTCTCCACCTGGATGGGTGCGATGTTTTAGATATTGCTTTTAGCCAAGTACCTTTATAAGTATAAGGCTAGGTTCACACCTCTGTGTGTTGAGATTGATGCGTTTTTTTTCCAGTGCGTTTTCAAACACTTGTTTTTTCTGCATGTTTGCAGGGTTTTTTTTTTCCAATAGGAAAGTATTGACTTTGATGCCACTTTGAGGAGACTTTGGATGGGTGCGACTTTGATGAAACTTTGGTGTAACTTTGGATGGGGTGTGACTGGGATGCAACTTTGGATGGGTGTGACTTTGATGTGACTTGGATGTGACTTTGGATGGGTGCGAATTGGATGTGACTTTGGATGGGTGTGACTATGGATGTGACTTGGGTGCGACTTGGATGCAACTTTGGATTAGGGTTGCCACCTCATCCCTTTAAAATTGAACAGATTAATTACACAGGTTCTGAGGCAAATGTATTGCAGATAAGGCACCAAGTGAATTTAATTACCACCTTAATCAGCCACAGAACCTGTGTAATCAATATGTGTTGGATTTTAAAGGGATGAGGTGGCAACCCTACTTTGGATGGTGTGACTTGGATGTGATTTTGAATGGGTGTGACTTGGATGGGTGCGACTTTGGATGGGTGTGACTTGGATGAACCTTGGATGCGTCTTTGGGTGGGTGTTACTTGGATGTGACTTTGGATGCAGCTTGAATAGGTGCGAATTGGATGTGACTTTGGATGTGTGTGACTTGGATATGACTTAGGTGCGATTTGGATACAACTTTGGATGGGTGTGACTTGAATGCGCCTTTGGATGGGTGTGACTTTAATGTGACTTGGACGTGACTTTGGATGGGTGCAACTTGGATGTGGCTTGAATAGGTGTGACTTTGATGTAACTTGGACGTGACTTTGGATGGGTGCAACTTGGATGCAGCTTGAATAGGTGTGACTTTGATGTAACTTGGACGTGACTTTGGATGGGTGCAGCTTGGATGCGGCTTGAATGGATGTGAATTGGATGTGGCTTTGGATGTGACTTGGGTGTGACTTGGATACAACTTTGGATGGGTGTGACTTGGATGAACCTAGGATGCGCCTTTGGATGGGTGTGACTTTGATGTTACTTAGACATGACTTTGGATGGGTGCAACTTAGATGCGGATGGAATGGGTGTGACTTTGATGTGACTTGGACTTGACTTTGGATGGGTGCGACTTGGATGTGGCTTGAATGGGTGCGAATTAGATGTGACTTTGGATGTTACTTGGGTGTGACTTGGATACAACTTTGGATGGGTGTGACTTGGATGCGACTTTGCATGGGTGTGATTTGGATGAACCTTGGATGTGCCTTTGGATGGGTGTGACTTGGATGTGACTTTGTATGGGTGCGGCTTGGATACAACTTTGGATGGGTGTGACTTAGATGCGACTTTGGATGGGTGTGATTTGGATGTACCTTGGATGCGCCTTTGGATGGGTGTGACTTTGATGTGACTTGGACGTGACTTTGTATGGGTGCGACTTGGCTGCGGCTTGAATGGGTGCGAATTAGATGTGACTTTGGATGTGTGTGACTTGGATGTGACTTGGGTGCGACTTGGATACAACTTTGGATGGGTGTACCTTGAATGCAACTTTGATGCTACTTGAGTGCTAAAGACTGCATCAAAGTCACACTACATAAACAGAACTGTCTTACTTGCCTATTAGCAAGAAAAAAAAAAAAGTGCAACAAAGTTGCTCATCCAAAGTTGCATCAAAGCTGTACCCATCCAAAGTCATGCATCAAATCAAAGTCATATCAAAGTCAATACTTTCCTATTGGCAAAAAAAAAAAATGAAAAACACAAAAAATAACGCACAACATGCGTTTTCTGCCATGTGTCCGTTGAAGTCTATTGAACCAAAAACGCACCATGTTGCATTAAAAAAATTCCCTGACCATTTCCAAAAACACAGTGGCTGAAAAATGCATAGATGATGTCTCATAGAAAACCATGTTAAATGGACTGTAGTGCGTTTCCGCAAAATGCACTAAAAATGCACAGGGGTGAACCAGGCAGAGATGATTCGTAATAAAGTTTCACTGAAGGTGGTACGTGAAGCCAATGTGCTCTTTTTTGTATAGTTTTGTTCCAAGATCCTCAGTCTGGAAGGTACAGCAAGTCTGAGGATATCCTTTTATATTATGGACTCCCGTGAGAACATTAGCGTGATCGGACTTTGGGTTGAAAGCAATCAGCTTACAAAAATGTATTTTTTATCACATAAGAGCTGACAGGTTTTTTTTAACACATACAAAACCATATTTATCCAATCCAATATAAACACGTCACTTTGCGTCACAAATCCCACAACTTGGTATAAAAACATTTTAACATTTTTATTGTAATAAAAAATCCACGTATCTTAAAAGCAATAATACAACTTACAACACAAAAAGTCACAAAATACAAAACTGTCTCAGATGGCATTGACTTTGTGATGTGTCTCCATTCACCCAACACGTTTCAGAGATATGCGACTCTTTCTTCAGGGGTTTGAGGGATATCACATCTAGTTAGACAGACAGTAATGAACATAGAAGTAAAACCGTACAGATTAACCACGTCAGTACCGGACACTTTCACCCCCTCCTGCCCAGGCCAGTTTTCAGCTTTCAGTGCTGTAGCACTTTGAATGACAATTGGTCGGTCATACAACATTGTACCCGTATGAAAATTTTTATAATTTTTTTCACACAAATAGAGCTTTCTTTTTGTGGTATTTTTTCATCACTGAGTTTTCTATTTTTTTGTACTATAAATGAAAAATATCAAAATTTTGATTAAAAAAAAGTTTTTTTTTGTTTCTGTTATAAAATTTTGCAAACAGGTAATTGTTCTCCTTCACTGATGTGTGTTGGTGAGGCTGCACTGATGGGCACTGATAGGCAGCACTGATGGGCACTGATGAGGTGGCACTGATAGATAACACTGATGGACACTCATAGGCAGCACTGATGGGCACTGATGAGGCGGCACTTAAAGGCCACACTAATGGGCTCTGATAGGCAGCACTGTTGGGCACTGATGAGGCAGCATGGATAGGCAACATTGATAGGCTGCACTGATGAAGCGGCACTGGTGGGCATTGATGAGGAGGCACAGATGCTGCTGCACTGATATGCAGCACTGATGGGAACTAATAGGTGGCACTGGGGGCACTGACTGGGGGCACTGACTGGGGGCACTGATGGGTGGGCACTTCTGGACACTTTGGGGGCTGCACTGATAATCAGTGCCCTAACTATCTGTGCAGATGTCCACTGTGACACTTGCTGGTTATCTGCAGTACTGTGACAGCGTGAGGAAAGTGCTGCTGATATTTGGCAACTGTATTTACTTTGTGATCAGCTGTGTCAGTGGACACAGCGGGGTTTATTTACTAAACCTGGTTGACTCAGAATCTTGGGCACCTGTGCATGGTAGCCAATCAGCTTCTAACCTTAGCATGTTCAGTTAAACTTCAGCAATAAAACCTGGAAGCTGATTGGTTTTTATGCAGAAGTGGACAAGATTCTGAGTCAACCAGGTTTAGTAAATAAACCCCAGCTGATCACGTGGTAAAAGGCCGCTGTGATTGGCCTTTTACCTTGTCATGTGATCAGCTGACAGCGCCAGGTGCGTGCCACTGGGGGGTGCACGGGGGGCACGTTCTGGGAGGACGTCATATGAAGCCCTCCCAGAACTGGACAACCGTGTTGTATCCATCAATTGCCTATAGCGCGGTTGTAAAGTGGTTAAAAATGTGCGATTGTCACCACCCTGACTTTGTGATCTGTCTCCATTCACCCGATGCATTTCAGTGACTATTTCTTCAGGGGTTTGAGGGATAGCACATCTAGTTAAACAGACAGTAATGAACATAGAAGTAAAGCCGTACAGATGAAAAGCATGTGTGATTGTCACCACCCTGCCTACCAGTCACGAAAGGCCCAACCCCCAATCCTACCAAGGAGGGAAGGGGACACATAGACCCTGATTTACTATTGTGCCTGGGCGCATTTCTGTGGGCAAACGTCTAATTTTTACGAGCGACCGTCTACTTTTACCCCGCTAAGAGATTTACTATTGAGCATCGCCCATAAGTAGACGCCCAATTGAATTTACTAACCAGACACACACCAGGAATCAGACTCACAAAGCAGACTTGGTAAGAGGTATGTCTAACACCATGAAAAATCACTGCAGAAACATGTTCACTTTGAAATTTGCTTTGCCAAATATCAGGACTTCACTTCAAACAATATCTACCATTTAAAAAAAAAATTTAAATGTGTTAAAAAGTTTTTATTTTAAGCAAGATGACACTGCAGACGATTGTGCAGTTTATTTGGCTGATATAAATGCTCATGTGCAGAACACATTTTAGCCGTCCTCTGTGGGCGCTTGCTTTTTAGCCACTGCTCAATAGTAAATCTCAGTGTGGATTCCTCTGACAGCCGGCATCGGTCTCGTCTACTGTGTTTAACAAACAGCAAT